CCTTTGTCAACATCAGATTTAATGACCATGAAGACAAAATAAGAACCACTCTCAAACAGGAAACACATTGTAACGTTTGCAACCCAAGAATCTCTGCTGCGGTGGCCATGCTCAGATTGAACGCACGCACATGATGGGCAGGGCAAACCAGTCCACTGCTGAGCCCGACCAATCATGAGGCGATCACCCTGTGACCAGCCCCAGTTCACGACACACATAATGTGCACAGGCATGTCAACCATTTTACAATTTACAATTTGCGAAACGGAGTGCTGGGCCTTGGCTGGCACAGCAGTTGGCGCCTCATGCGCCAACAGTGTGCTGGGCCTTGGCTCGCACAGCAGTTGGAGCAATATTGATCGTTCCAAAGGGGTCTTGCAACTATAAACACATCAACAAAAACAATGTTCAAAACTAAGTCACTGAGTTCCGCGTTTCAAACACGTGACCTATATACTTCGGCCACGCTATATAGTGGGATCTGTGCTCACACATCGCGCTTCTTCGACTGGTAGGTGAAATCAAGATTCACAAAGATGCACTTGCATTAGTGTTGCGCGTCACCAATGACAACGTCGATCCAAGTCAGTCAACTGGCATCGCCACAAGGCTCGCCTGCATGGAGTTCTCCATGTACCAGCTTCGAGGACGATGAACAAACCTGTGGGCAGGGCGGCAGAGGATTTGTTCGGTGACATGAACGCGTGAACGCAGGCGGTACAACAGTTTCACAAACAAACACCTGTTCTATCACAGCAGATGAACTTGCAATCATATGTACCATGCATGGACACGCAAGCCTCACGTTTTCTGGGTCTCAGTCGATCAGCTGAGAAAAGCTGTACTGCAGTGCAGGGTTGCCGTCGACCAACTGAGAACAGCTGGGACTGCCGCACATGGGCGCCTGGCCAGGAGCAACGCCTATCGGCTGTCAACCAACTGAGAACAGCTGGGACTGCAGCAGGGTTGCCAGGAGTGACTCCTACAGGCTCATGCGAAACGGCTGGGCTCTGTGAAGCTGCTTCACCAAGCCAGTCACTGTCCCTGCACATTTGAGTGGTTGTGAAAAGGAGGACAGCCTGCCATCTTCCAAGTGAGGGTGTAACTTGATATGAGAGCGTGCACATTTGTATACTGGGTTTCTCACGTGGCTACATAAATGAGTGTGAGTCGTATATTATATGTGCGTGAGAGGGTTGAGGCTGAGGTTGGTCATAATTGCACTTCACCTTGGAAGGAGTCGTGAGAGAGATACCGACACATGTCCACCATGGCTGGCTGCACGCCTACGGCTTTTTTTTGCACGGCGTCCTTCAAAGCACCGGCCATGTCTTTCACAGCGGAAATAGTCTCCCGCAGCTCCTCATGCGTCAGCTCGCTTGCCGTGGCTATCCCAGAGCGGTGAAAAACATAAATGCAATCGTGGAACAAACAAAACACACACTCATGGAGTGATGTGCTGCGTGAATTGCATGCACACAAGCAAACATTGAGCTAAGGGACGTCATTCTCAAGGCTGCGCAGCTCCTGCTGAGTTTCCTGTAAGAAAGCACAAACAACTCAAGCCAATCAATCAACCACACTGCGCACTGAAACAAGACAAGGTGATCTTCTAGGACCACGCGCGCCGAGAGACCTTCATCCGGACTTTGATACCACCACGCGTCCTCGCACGGTCCGATGCAGCGCGGTAGGCCGCAACGTGTTTTTGTAGGATCAGCTTTCCGTCTATCTCCACCCAGCCATTGCCCAGCCAGGACTCCTGAGCTTGAGCGATCACTTGGGCGATCAAGCGGGCAAATAGATGAGTCTGTAAATGATAGACCTGAAGCAATATATTTATGTGTTTGCAACATTCCACACTATTGCAGAATCACGTTTTGCCTCCCATGTCAGGTGTCTCTCTTGCCCTCATGCCACAGCACTTTGCCCTCATGTTTGGCCTCCTCCTCAACATTGCCCTCATGTTTGGCCTCCTCCTCGGCCTGCACAAGACATCCAGGACCACCAACGTGACATCGCAAGTGGCCTTTGCTTGCAGTTCCATGCTCCTGTACGCCAAGTCCCGCAGGAAGCCCGGCGTCAAGGCCGCCCCTGTGGGAGGCTTGGCATCCTGCGTGCAAGCAACAACGCAGTGAAACCTGACCGTGACAATTGGAACGAACTGAAGTGGTTCACTGCCCAAACTCTGCATGAAGCCGTCCCACCTTGCCGTGGACCTTGTAAAAGGCGTTCAGCCATTGATACCCTTCAGGCTTAGGGTTCCTCACACTGAGCGTGGAAATGCTCTGTTCAATCAAATTCAAAAACAAAGCACTCGCATCACCCACAAACATATTCACTCCTCGACTTCTATCACCTCTCTAGAAGCCTGCAAAAGATTGAGACTTGGAAACATGCACGTTCGCGTGTATAGTCAAACTGCCTCCTGATGTCACCGTACACTGCTTGGTGCACTGCTCCATGCGAGCTCAGAATTCTGAGCTGATTCACGTTGCGCCTGTCAGGCCGCTGGATGGCAGGTTGCAATGCGTGCGCGACAATCCTTTGCAATATTAAGATTTTTTCCTTCTATCCGGGGTTGCTGTTTGCAACCGGGGTTGCTGAAACTCTGGTACTGAAACTCTGAGTGAAGCGGGTCAGGGATGAAGTTTATAAGCTGAAAGAGCGCGGTTGAGGTCCGGTGGGGTTTCATAACACTGCCATTCAGAGCTGGCACTCTGAGGTCTGGCAGGGATCAGTCATTAACCTGGCCGGCTGGAGCTGCCGGTGGGGTCTGTCTCTGAGTCGTCCGGCGGGGAACACTGCCATAAAATAGTAATGTTGGGCAAGCCGGATTTACTCCATCATCATGAGTGGAAAAATTTCATGCGGTGGTCCAGCCCAACGCTCCGCTTACCATGTTCCCCTACCCTCCCCTACTACTACCCTCCATCACTCCCATACCAACTACTCCCTGGCGCCAATGAATGCTTTCAACTGGCGCTGCTTCTCCCGCCTGCACCAGACTTCGGAAGAGATTCTGCAGTTGCTGACGCAGTGGGCGCGGCAGAATTAAAGAATAACTATAATATTCTTTATGTTATATTATAGCAGTTGTTGTGTTAAATGATTGCGTGTTGTTGTGTATAGCTTGTCAAAATTGGGTGGTGGGATTAATATTTGTTGCGTAGCCAAACCACCAATGAACCATACTTAGAGGATCCAACGTTGCACAAAGGACAATGTTTCCAACAAACGACAACAGACGTTGCCGTATGAAGCAGCGTTGTCGTTTGTGGTTAGAGCCACTCTTTGAAAAAGAACATGTTGGCTCGAAGAAAAGTCATAGATGAATGTTTTGTTAAGAGTGTCGGGAAAGGAATTATTCTTATTTTTTCCACAAGTCTGTGCGAGAGTGTCCTACAAGAGTGTATGTACAAGAGTGTCCTATACAAGCAGTCAAAACGACAACGTTTCGCAAACGAAGCAGTTGGAGGTCAGGCGACACAGGTGCGCGCACAGAGGCGCTGAACACCAAACGGCACCAATATCCAAACGAAACCGTTTCAAGTTCTCCCGCAGTTTTGAAGATTCAAAAAGCAAGCGGCCTTTAAAAGATCGAGGCTAATATGGAATATGTAGCTTTGAAACATGGGACAGCGTCGTGTTTGGTGTCGTTAGGGCTGAGCCAAGGGCAGTTTGCATTTTTTTGTGACCAAGCGTGGGGCAAAGTGAGGAACCTCTTTTCAAACACATGTTTCCAACACTCTTTTCAATTTACATAATATATATACATATATACTTGTATACACGTACAAGTGGGTATGTATGTATACATTGTCAACCGGTGACCTTGAAAAGGTATGAGGTGCACAGTCACACACACACACCCTGCTTGCGATTGCCTCCAACCTACTAGGGATGGCCTGCAAAGTAGTAGTAGCGATGGCCTCCAACCTTCTAGGGATGGCCTGCAAAGTAGTAGTAGTGATGGCCTCCAACCTACTAGCCATGGCTTGCAAACTAATAGCGATGGCCTCCCAGAAGCTGCGGTCCATGGCTGCTACTGCCACTGCCTTTTCTTCTGGCTCGCGTGGCTTCGAACGGTTTCGAAGCTTGGCTGCATGAACCCTGCAGCGCCCCATGGCTAGATGCACTGGGTACCAACACATAATTTGCACCATCAACTTTAGTTCGAACATCGCCACACCAAAGCATCAGCCTGTCTGATTGCTGTACAAGTAGTGTGAAAGAGCCAGCACATACCTTTCTATGGCACGTTTCTGGACTGTGGCCCCATGGCAACGAATTGCTATTTTTTTAATACACCCAAGCCATTTCTCATCTTGCCAAACTGCAAAGATGTTTGGGTTCAACCTGGTGGTCGCAGTGTCCACTGCTACGTGGTACAAACAATGATGCTTCGGTCTCAATTTGAAACACATCAAGTGCTCTTGCCAGCAATAGGCTGCAAGAGCTTGCGAGGATTTCAGGTGTAGGCGCATGACTCTGGAGAACTCCTGGGCGTGGGCGCGCGGTAGAGACTGCACAATACTACAGAGGTACCCCATCAAACATCTCAAAGGACCCAAAAACCACCCCCTCCAATTGGATATCCATCAAAAAGGGGGCTCAATTTCTGTCACCATGACACCTCTGCCTCAGTAGTGGTCAGAAGGAGGCCGCCGCCATCCATAATTTCAATGGCCCTGGTCAACGACCAAGTACAAAGCTGGAGCAAGACAATGATCGGGTCTTCCTCACATATCGGTTTTAGGCGCTTGCGGTAATGCAAAACGCTCTATAGAGGTTCAGTTGAACAAATCATGAAAATTTTATTCTATGCAGTGAGTGTCAGAACGCTTCGTAACATCTTGAACCTTTCCGGCGACCCACCAGACCATCAACTTTACGTGCTGAGCTTTGAAGCGAGACGAAAGCTCGCAGTAGTCATCTTGGCCGAAAGAATTGGTGTTGGAAACTGACAAGAGGCGCCTAGGAAGGTACAACCTGGGATCTCAGGTTGGCGACCGTGCCAAAAACAAAACTAGTGCGCAAAGGTTCCAAACACACAAAAAACTAGGCGATAGAATTTGAACAGGAAACCCGTGATCCTTACAATCCTGCTTCATCTCCAAGCTCACCCGCTGTAGGAACTTCTCGTCGCTCTCTGCTGGGGAATAGTGGTAGCCAAAAGTTTTCAACAATTTGAGGACCGAGGGGACATGGTTTCTTGCAACACCCAAAAAGATAAGGTGCATCACATCAAATGAAATGGTCTCGAACTGAAACCCCTCCACAGCAATCCACGGTGTAATTCGACGAGCAGTCCTCAGGTACTCGCCGTGATCCTTGCAGGTTGTCACGTATGGCGCGTTGTCAGCCATGTTTTTGTAGGTCATAGGGTGAGGAGCCGAAGTCATAGGCTGAATTGCTTTGCACCGGTCACACATCTTTTTGCAGAGGTAGTAGTCTGAAAGCAAATGACACTGGTGTCTAGCTTTGAGATCTGCTTTGAATGCGAAATAGGTGAGCCTTGCTCCAATTTGATTCAAACTATCAGACAACTCCGACATGAGAAAGAGTATAGTACAGTAGTCCCTATATAGATAGAACCGGTTTCCAGTACATTAGTAGTCCCCAAATAGATAGAAACGGTTTCCAATACATTCTTAGTAGTGATTTACTTTTGGTGGCCAATATAAAAAACATGTGCTTTTCGAATGGCTAGAGACTTGAAATTGCCTGCTATGCGGTTCCCACATAGAGATTCCCTGTAGCTATTCTTCTCAAATGTTTCTCCATAGAACCCTCGGTCTGGGTACCGGCCCAATGCTGCATAGTGGAGAGACCATGCTGTCACTTCAGCGATCGTTTTGTTGACGCCCTCACGAACCTCAGTTTAACGAAATGTATAGAAGAATGAAAGCTGCCTCAACAGGCCAACTGAATAAGTTTCCGGGAACACGTGTGTTGGAGGAAACCTCACCAAAAGGATTTGCTATTGAATCGAAAGACTTCATCCGTTTTCATCTGGCGTTCTGCCACGATTGATATTGGGTAACGGCTCACTAGACAATCATGCCCTGCAGCCCCAAAAACTGAGCTCCAGTTCATAATGAAAAACTCATCATCCCGAAACATCTCGGCGCCATCGCCGTGCACACAGCATGGGACCAATTTCTTGAGTTTGTCGTCCGACAAGGAGTGCAGGACCTGGTGATGTTTGTATTCCGACAATGATTTGATATGGGTCCAGAATCGCAATATGGACAGGCCATCATTGTTTCCACACATCAAGTAGGTAAACTGGCAGGGTTTGTTAAACGATCTAAAACTCAGAGTTATTAATGGCGGTTTGCCAGGACATGAAAAAATATACACAGAATCTCTCGCATATGTTTTTGACCGCACCTGATCCGGATCCCTTGCGTACAAAGCCCCAAACACTTCGTGTGGCAGAAGTACATTGGCCACGCACTCCCGAGGATCTTCATCGGTATCTACCTTGGGCAGCGAAGCATCCATGGAGACTGGGACGCAGGAAAAGAACCTGTGGAGTTTAGACTTGGGATCAAAGGGCGCAAAGAGATAAAACTAAATCTAGCTAGGCCACATGCAGATGGACTTTGATTTGATACGGCTGTAAATGAAAGTTGTAGGCGCCCTTTGCCCAGGCCCAAAACTCACGCCCTGTGTTGCTGGAATGTTTTCCGTGGGTTCCACAGCTGGCAAGATGTTCAATCCCCTTCACCGCATCTCCAAAATCAGATTGAATAACTCGAGCTATTTCAGCCGCAGTGGTCACATGGGTTTCCCCTCTACCGATCAATTCCAACAGCTTGTTGACCGTTGTGCCAGAGTTGTCTTTCGCGGACTCCAGCCTTTGCCGTTTCCTTCTGGTTGGTTCACCTGGCCACGGTGAGCAAAGAGGTGCCCTCGATCAGGGTGACAGTGGGTGCAAAGCTCACTTGGCCAAGCTGTTTCTTCCAACAAAAACAAATCACAGCGATAGTAGCTGTTTCTAAATCTGCCGCCAAAACGGGTGTTTATTTTCCAGTTCGCATCAAGCAGTCTTGAGATTGACACGTTCTGAGTCAGCTACGCTGACCCCCTGCATGCTCATGGTGAGCATGGCTAGACCCCAAATCAAAACGCAGGTAGCCATCATGACCCTACACTTTTGGCTTTCGCCTTAGCCTTCGCTGATTTGCCACTCTTCTTACCGGCACCTCTCTTCATCATTCCAGCAGCAGATGCCTCAGGGGCTGCCAGTGGTGAGCCACACACTTTGGGGTGTCTCAACACGCTTCTTTTGCTTGGATTGGGCAACCCTGAACTAAACTCAAAATCCAAAAACATCCTTTCCAGCGTTCATGTTTTTCCATGTATGTTTTAATCTTTGGGCCATGACCCCAACCTCAGCTTTCTTGAACCAGTCCCTCTTAATCTGCACTTTCGAAATCAGCGCTTTGATCTTGTCGAGATTGGGCGATGTAGCTTCAACAGCACTCTTCAAATCAGAGAAACACCCCTCCATGGCAGACCCATGATCCAGAAGCTGTTTTGATAGCTGGTCAGCAAACTCCATACCCTTGAGCTGGATACCTTTCGTCCGTGCCTTTGTTGCCTCATCGAGGACTGCTGGAACTAGATCTCGGCCCAACCTTGGCACGGCAATGAAGCATGGCGGATGGCAACTGCGACCTTGACTCTTGTTCCGGCGGTGTGGGGTGAAGAGGATGTTCAATGTTTTTCCATATATATATATATAGATAGATAGATTTATCTGTACACAGATTCAGGAAATATGTTCATGAACAGAGTCAAGATATCCTTATAAAACATGAAGCAGGCCATCACTTCATGATCGATCATGAAGCAGGTCGATCGACATATTATAGATTCAAAGTGGAGAGATATAAACCCATCTAAGGGTGGAGGCCATGGCTTTTGTCAGAGGCCATCACTACTAGGTTGGAGGCCATCACTACTAGGTCGAAACGCGGGCGACGTCGCATTTTTGAAACTTCGAAGTGTCATTTGAGGACACCAGAGTGATTGAAACCTTCAATAGTATCCCAGTTGAGGCAATGTTTTCACATAACCACTGAACCATTGGTACCCTGAGGTTAGGACTCTAAGGGAGTCTTTGGCTTAACTTCTTCTCCCTCCTCCTTCTCTTTCTTTGGCTTCTTTGGCTTCACAATGCTCTTTCCCTCGTCATCTAAGGCTGAATAAAGATGCTTCGCGCCTTGCTCTGAAGCTGCGCGGATGGCGGGCAAGGCGCCGCTTTGAAGAGGACCGTCCTCTCCGGTAAGGGCCGCCTGGACTTCAGTACCCACCTTCCGCGTGGCAGACATTTTGAGGGTCTCAGAAGTGGAGTCCTCTTGGCGGATGACTCTGCCAGTTGGCATATAGTACCATGTCTCCTGGAAAGGATGGCTGAACCCTTGACATTTCTTTACATGGATGCTAGTTAGTGCGTTTTTTTGTTCAGAATCATTGGGCGGTTACATATAATACATGGAGATTCTAAACCCCCTTCACTCACACAGATGATGACATTAAACACGCAATTTTTTGAACCACAGTCCTGGGGATCTTCCGGCCAATCCTCATCAGCGTAATACAGCCCCTGCTCCTGTCGCTTCTTGATGAGTTCCTTGAAGCGGTCCTCAGGCATGGACTTTTGTAGGTCTTTGGCCTGGATGGCCGTCCACTGCTTCCGGTTCAAATTGGTAGTGGATTGCAAACGATCCACTTCGACCACAACTTTGTCCCAATCACCTTCATGGTCCAACCAAAGGCCAAAAAGGTCAGCCTTCTTCTTTCGCAGGAAAGGCATGAGCGCAGTAGGGAACGCACCTCCCTTGGTTTGTCGATCAAAGCGGTCCCATTCCTTCTTGTGCGTTGTACCTTGGCGGCGAAATGTTTTTTTTAAAGACCCACACCAAATTCTTTGGAGTGCAAAAATTTGGAAAAAGAAAATGATGTCACCCCAATTAGCACAGTTGCTGTTGCGAACCTCTTTACTCTTGTCCGCTGTTGCCGCTATAGACTCAGCCAACTCTCCCTTCTTCCTTTTCTCTTCATCCTCCTCCTCCTGTTCCCCATCCTCCTGGTCATCTTCGTCTTCTGACGCTGTACCTTCCGTTTCAGCATCGCTGGCCTCATCCTCCTCCGAGTCTTCTGCGTTTTCATCCTTGTCGCTACCATCTTCTTCATCTTCATCTTCATCTTCTTTTGCCTCGTCGGCATCCTTCTGTCCTTCTCCCTCCTCCTCCTCTTCCTCCTCCTCCTCTTCACTTGTGTCATCTTGCTCATCAGCTTCTGCTTCGACTTCTTCGTCTTCATCTGAAGCTTCGCTACCATCCTGGCTCTCTTCATCAGAGGCGTCCTTCTCTTTTTCTTCACCCTCACCCTCCTCCTCACTTTCCTGCTCAAGCTGCTTTGCTGCCCTCTTGCAAAGCTTGTTCTCAGCCTCCCCAACCTCGCCGAGCTTTGCCAACTGCTTGCTCTCCGATGTGGACGGTGCTTTTGCATGGTCTTTGAGGTCATCAAGGAGGCCCAGCATGTCAGTTGCATCCAACTCAGCCCTGACACTAGCAAGTAGAGCAGCATCTTCCAACTTGTCACCAAGGGCTTCCATAGCCTTGGCCTGCTTCTCTGCGTAATGCTCAGAACTTGCATCAGTCTGAACAGTGCCCAGGCTGCTTGCTGGCGACTTCATTCGGCGCCGCTTCCTGGGCGGTGTTGATGGGGCAGGCACGCTGCATCGCAAGGCAGCTTCCTGTAACCTTTTCAACCTTTCCTTCTGCTCCCCATCATCCTTCTTTTGTTTCTTGCTGCCATCCTTGTTCTTCTCCTCAGTCTTCTTCTCCTTCTTTCCCTCTTTGGTCTTCGCAGTCTCATCCTGCTTTGTCTTGGTCTTCTTATCAGAGTCCTTCTTCTTGTGGGCCATCTTCTCCTCCTTGGTGCTCTTGGAGACCTCCTTCTTCGCTTCTTCCTTCTTGGGCTTCTTCTCCTTTGTCTCCTGTGGCTCCTGGGGATCCTTGTGTTTGGTCTGCTGCTCTTCTGCCATGGCCTTTTCCTTTGCCTTCTTCTTGTCCTCTGTCTTGGTATTGCCATCAGACACCTTCTTGGAACCTTTGGCAGTCTTCGCTTTCTGGCGGTTCGCTTCTTCCGCAACCTTCAGAACATCAGCCTTGATCTTGTCTGCCTTTCTTTTCTTGTCATCCTTGTGACCATCGTTGCTCTTTGTGCCTTTCTTTTCTGATCCTTTCATGATCTTGATTGCAGGATCAATCTTTACCCGCTTCTCTGGCTTTGGTTCACCCCCTGGCTTTTTGAGAGCAGACTTGCGCACCTGGACTGCAGCCTGCGGTTGTTTAGCCTTGGCTTTTGCCATTGCCAGTCAAACTAGGAAGGAACAGCTTGATGATCTGACACTGCAGGAGCAGGAGGAATCAGAAACACTGAAGTGCAAGATTCTGTATGGATTTGGTGGTGCAGCGGCGGCAAATTGCTATTTTTGAGTGTGTTCTCCAAATCGCATGAATTCTCAACAAATCGCACAAAAATCTCTCCCAATCGCATAAGCGTTCTGAACCAAAAATGTATTTTTTTAATGTTGCGTCTAGGTTTTGTTTTCCTGTGTGCCAGATTCTTGAAATTCTTGAATTTCTGACCCAATCACCCCAAATTCTCGCCAATCACTTGCCCTGATGGCCTCGACGCTTTGTGGAACATTTCTTGAGCACCAATCGAGGCATTCCAAGACCTGGCCAATATGGTGTGTTTCAATGTGCAGGAACAACTGGCACCCTTTGAGCTAAAGAAACACGCGTGTCTAGTTGGGCGACCAGATCGACTCTACAACTCATTAGATACCAGTACAAACGGGTCAGGGTTTGGAGGAGCATTGGGGGGTCGTTTGTTTGGCCATGGCCAACCCGCTTCTGCAGAATGAAGGACGAATTCTTTGTTCCCGGCTTCACTGTCCCACCACAGCTAACTAGCAGCTAATTGTGATTTCAATGCTGCACTGTTGGTGTTGCGGCTATTCCACAACGACCTGGCAAATTAAATGGGAGCATAGGTCATAGGTGAGCTACTGCTGGCCTAAGTATGCCAGCACAGGTGTCAGGTTGGCCTGGTCAACCCAGAACTTGTTGACCCTAGAACTGCTTTCTGCAGCAGCCCTGTCATCCCTCAGCGCTGCACGCAGGAACTGCCGCGCTTCCCGGTGGTGCCGCATTCGATACCTGGTGGTGACGCGAGCCACTCCTTTTCCGAGCCTGGGCATCATGTGGGATTGGGAGGGGGGCGATCGGAAAGGTTTGAGTCAAGAAGGGGTGGCTGGTGGGTGAGCTGGTACCACGACCCACTGCCAGACCCCATGAATCCCAGACCCAATGAACCGAAAAGTATTTCTGAGATTTATCCAAAACACATTCGTGGATAGGCTTCGCTCGCTTTTAGGGCGCCACTTCCTTTGATTCTGTTCTTGCCCTTGGAGTCTTTGTACTTGACCACCAGCTTCTTCTTGTTGGGCGGCTTCAAGGTCCTGTCCGCAAAGTCGTTGAAATCCACAGCCTCTGGCTTACCTCGGGAAAGCTTGTCTGAAAAAAGATATTTGGCTGTCACAAGAATGGGAAGAGCATCCTCCATGACTCCATGACCTACCACAATCTTCCACCCCATAAAGCCTTATGTTTGTTCTACTCACCGTTTTCTATATTAGGTTGACATGACACGAATGAGAAGTGAACAGGCAGATGCTATTCTATTTTGGGAAGGTTCCCAATCTGACCCCCATATCCTCAGGTAGATCTTACTAAACAATTGTTTTTTGTGACGTGTGTGAGGTTGTGGGGCCAGATTGGAAACTAGCGCAGGCAAATGCAAATCAGGCTACTGGAATAGATCCACAAAGGCTTAGTCGTGTCCGATCCAAACCAGCAAAGGGAAGTCGAGATTCGTGTGACGTGGACATGCAGGAGCCTGGAAGAGCAAGTGCCCCTCCAGTAGGCTCCCCCTTGGCTGTTCAAGCCGCCACCATACACCTTTTGCCACCGCTAGTGTAAGGAGCACAACCACACGCCCCACCATCAAGTTGCGCAGGCCCGTGACCCCGGTGTTGGAACCCATTGGATTGGTCGTCGATCGATGAGTGGAGCCTCTAGACCTTAGCCATTTCAAGAAAGGTGGAGAGGTGGAAGCTCCAATCCAAGCAAACGATCAACCAACAAACAAGGGCCAACATGTCCTATAGACAATGAGCCCTCAAGTGAAACATGACAAAGGTTCCTGTGCTCATCCTAAGCTCAAATAGATCCAAGTCGAACAAACTGGCGCTGCCCACATGGCAGCACCCGGGCGCAAGTTCAGCACTTGGTAAACCATGTTGCAGAAGCCAACGTTTGACAGTATGTCCTGCTCTGCGCCAAACTTCAAGTCCATGGCGATCGCAGAACGTCTCTCCTATACAGGGGGACGCAAAGGCTGATATTGTGTTGAGGAAAGGGCTTCTATGAAAACCAACAAGGATAGCTTACAAGAAGAATCCTCGCTTAAAAAGGGTTCCCTTTTTAAAAGAAATAGGTGACCCATTTGTGAAGACGACTTTGACCTAAGGAGACCCCCAAAATCCTCCCACTCACCGCGGCTGATGCTGCACACCCCCGCGAAGAGCTCCAAGTGATCTATAGGCTCATCCCACTTCAAATGCGGGAGCGAAAACACCATGCTGCAAAGAGACAGCAACACCTGCCAAGGGGATAGCGAACTTCATATGTCCTTTACGCTCATCCAACAACATTCGATTAAAACCAGCAACTATAGACCGGATCATCCACCGCCACCACCACCGCCACCTAGGTTTTTGGCAACCCTGGCCATTGGCGCATTCATGCAGCGAAGGCCAGCGTTGACGCACACCCGCTGCTTTTGCTTCCAAGACAACGGGATAGTGGTAGGGGCTTCAGCAGGGAAAGGCATCTTGGCTCTCGAAGCCTTCACCCTGGCAGCAACCCCTGCTCCCTTGGTCATGATACCAGAGTAAGCCTCCAGACTTGACCTCAACAAAACCACTGGCTTGAGTTTGAGCCAAGCATTTTCGGATTGAAATGCATCACCAGCCACTGGTGGTCACTAGTTGGTTTGGTCTTCTGAAGAAGGCCCCCTCGGTCCCTGGCCTTCGCTCACTTGCGCAGGCTATAGAAGATGGATTCTTGGAGCCTTGGAGCCGCCACTGGTCACTAGGTCACCGAAACCGGTGGGAAATGGTGGGAAGAAGAAACGATTGAAACGTTCAAGGTCATTGTTTTTGGTGAGTGTGAATAATCTCACTTAAGTATATCGAAACATGATGTTTCAAGCTCATGCTGCTTTGGTGACTGCGCATAGTCTGTTCATCACAGACGTAAAACCGATGAAGCTCCCGAAGCTCATTGTGTTTTGGTGGTTGTGAGAAGGCACATTGTGTTTTTGCGGTTGTGCGGAATCTCATGGAATATCTAACATTATCTAACATTTTCATCACGAACGCACAAATGATAGGCTTCCAAGCTCACTGTGCTTGTAGAATCTCAAAGAATATTGAGACACATTCATCACGAGCGCAAACCCCAGCCTTGGAAGTAGAGATCTTGAGAAGGGAGCCGGGCGAGCACCTCCGTTGGAGGCCATTGCTAGTAGGTTGGAGGGCATTGCTATTAGGTCGGAGGCCATCACTAGTTGGAGGCCATCGCTGGTAGGTTGGAGGCCGTTGTTAGTAGGCTGGGGGGCCATCACTACTAGGTTGGAGGCCATTATTGCTAGTTGGGCTGGAGGCCACCGCTAGTAGGTTGGAGGCCATCGCACAGCGTGACATCCAAGGAAACTTTGGTATTTGGTGGCCACTCTGCAACCGCTTGCTGCAGCCAGCTTTGATCTTCGCTTGGAGGACCTTTTTTTCTGACGGCTTGTGAACTCAGCGGATATGATCGATGGCATCGATGGCCTACTAGGATCTTTTCCCTGCGCTTTCAGGCGGCAGCTACCAAGCCAAGTAACAAACAAATAGCACCATTGCAGTCTAGGTTCAAAAACCTTGTGGGTTGGACACACGAAACTTCGATCGCTGCAGTACCCCGAGAAGGCAAGGGCTCTCACTTCTGGTTGTCAAGAAGTGTTGACAAAACCCCAAAACACTCTGGCGCAACTGTGCAGAGCAAACCCCGAAAGAAGCGACGGTCAGGCTGAAGGCCAATTGGCCCCCGCTTTTGCCATCCCCCACGCTTTGAAAGCCCCTCCACATTTCTTCCAACTAATTTGACCCGCTTTGCACTCCTCTCCACCTCCAGGAGCAATGCGCTTGACCACGTATGCTTGGGTGCGAAGGAGAACTTCGATGGCCTCAGGACCAAAACAACTTGTTGTGGGAAGGGCTGATTTGAAGTGGACTTAAACAACAGTGTTCATTTAAAAGGAGTACACTCTGATTTTTTTGGGCAAACGACTGCTCCATTTGCTGCCACCACCGTGTAACCATGGGCCCCAAGATGAGGTCGGGAGGCTTGGGGCCATGCACTCTGTGGCACTTCAAGCTCACGCAAGTTGTAGATTTTGAACATCCCATCTTCAAGAGGTGGTTTGGGCGACGCTGACTTGGGCTTTTTCTTGGTAGGCTCTTCAGACTTGGGCTCACCGCCACCCTTCGAACCCAATGAAGCAGCAGCAGAATCCTCCTTGAACCTCTTCATGCCCTTAGCCTTGGATGCGACTGTGTAGAAAAGGAGGTTGGTTTACTGGAAAACAGGTTTGTGAGGCTTTTGGGGAACAACAACTTGGAGCAGGAAGTAAGAAGTGAACAACTTCCCAATGCAAACTACCAGAGAACCGTTTGAATGCCAATCTCAGGGGATTTGAACTTCTTCTCCAACGCTTCCGACATCGCACTCACAGCTGACGATGGTTGATCTAGAAGAGGGGTCTTGCGCGCCTCACCCTTGTACCCCACACTCTCCCCTTCCTTGTCAACATCGTTCTTCAACACCTTGAAGATTGTGTTGCGCTGGAAGTCTGCCTTGCAAGAGCGCGAGACAGGGGCAAGAACAAAGAGCTGTTCACTAAAATTTTACTGCGCAAAAAGATGTGTCTCCAGTTGGGTACAAAACTATCAAATGAGAAATTGCCCACAAGCCAACACAGCATGGGAAGAACCTACAAACTTAAGTGATACACGCACGACAACTACTCTAAAGAACTCACGGCGACGCCCAACAGCAAAGCCTTGACATCGTCAACACTGTGCTTCTTCTCCTCTCGGATGAGGCTCTCTTCAGCAGCAGCGGCTGCTGGGCACATAGCTACCAGGTCCATGGAATCCCTGTGAGGGAGGACCTGCGCAAAGCTGTGCAAGATCTGGGTGGCCCGTGACACGCGCGGCATAAAAACAAAAGTCGGGCTTAATTTTGGCAACAATGACAGGAAGTGGCTTCAACAGCGCCTTGTTTCCAAGCTTCTTGTAGCGAGCCAACCAAGACTGCCAAAATTCATGAGTCGAGAGCCAACCAGCCGCTTCAACTCCAAATCTGGAGAAAGCCCACTCGCAGTGGTCAAGGTATGCCACAAGATGAGGGTGCCTGAGTGAACCGACGGATGTTGCAACACGGCAGCGCCAGGGTATCAACCAGTCAAAAGAAATTGAACCACAAAAATTTCTGACATTGTTCATTAGAAGACCAACCTAGCTGCTCCATGCTTTCTGGCTGATGGCCTGACAGATATTGCATCAGTGCCATGCACGTCTCAACCAGCTCTGGATCCCGAGGGAGATCCCCTGATGGTGTGGTGAATTTTTCATCATCCCACTTGTTTGGACGCTCAGGCGTGTCGGTATCGTGCTTCTCACCTTTGGACTGCCCAAGGATGAGTGTGGTAGCGTCAGAATCCTCATCTGAATCCTGAGTAGGGACATTCACAACTTGAGCGCCAGGATCCTCCTCCTCTTCACTGCTTGACTCGCGCTCAGCAGCATCATCAAGCGCCACGTCACCTCCACCCCCAACAACCGCAGGCAGGGCTGGATGCTCGGACTCAATGTTCTGATCAACCTCCTCCCCTTCTTCACGGTGGTTTTCTGGTTCCTCCTCCTCCTCCTCTGTCTCCGTGAGAGCAGCAGGAGGCGATGGGGCCGGCCTGGCCTGCAACAATACGCAACAGTTGTAACATACACGGCGCAAAGTAGCATCGACTTTTAGAAACCCATCCATATACACAATCAGCTTCGCCCAACTAACTATCTTATTCTGCCAAAACCCTGAACAGTGACTACGACACACACTCCAGACAATTCCATGTCGAATGGCCCTGAAATGGCCTTGCTCCTGGTAGGCGATGGAAGCAAGAGAGATTTCATCTCAGTGATTCTCGGATGGCAGCTAGTCTTACCTTGGGTAGCAGTGGTAGAAGCTAGCAACAACAATGTCTGCAAAAAGGTCAGAAGACCGTGCTGATTGACAAATCAGACAAAAACAACACCTTTTAAAACTACAACCAAATGGCTCGACCGCCACAAAGTACGCAAAGCGCCAATTAGTGTCTTCACCTTTTTGGCTTCGCTTGCCGCCAGCGTGAACTTCGATTCCCCCTCTTGAAGCGGGAGCAGGAGGCGGCCCAACCAGATCTTGTCCAGCATGAGGAAGCAGTCTGCAATAAAGAAGGCAGAAGGAACTCTGTCCCGAAATTGTTGGACAAAAGGCTTGATCCAACATGAGTTGAGAATCAGGTCCTCCACACTGGGCCGAATGAGTGACTCTTCAATCTGGACAAGGGGTCCTCCCTTCCATTCTGCGCCCAAAACCTGCACAACCGATATGGGGAGCTCGGTCTTGATCCTGAAGGCCACTTGCCTCACATCAACGCCCTTCCAAGGTACCTTCCCAGGACCTTAGATGGAACAGGATATAACCTTGCAACCTCAAAAAACACGCTGAGAAAAACTTATCCACAAACAATAAACAGTTCAGGGTGGAAAGGGTGTATGGCCAAAGTTGGAACTAGCCACGGACACTCTTCCATGACTCCATGGCAAGCTGCCAAGACTCTTCAGCCATTGTCGCTGGACAAAGCTAACGAGATACAGCGAGATACAGCGAGCACTTTCCTTTTCCCAAACCCAAATGGCTGAGATGATTCATAAGCAGAATCCAGAACAGCCCACTTTACCCTTGCAACATCATGTAAATGCTTTGGGGGCATGCTCCATGGTCACATCGTAAGGAGGCTTGAATTCCTGCAAGGCACTTGTCCCACACACACGCTTGTGACTCGGGAGGGTCGAAGCGCCTGCAGGACTTTCGCAGCGGCAAGACGTCAGCTCACCACAGCGCTCGAAGTTGAAAATCGAAATGGCGCCAGCGGTGGCGCTTTGATGTTTTTTTGAGACACAGGTTTCAAACATTTGACGCCCAAAATCTTCATGAGAACTTCAGGGTCATGGTTTGGAAAAATTCATGCCTGTGGAAAGAATTGCTGCGGGGTCCACTTCTCCCCTGAGTGATCCACTTGACAGCTTTTCCAGTTTAAAAAGGCAACGGCTTTGACCAAGGCGAAACGAATCTTGATCGAAACTGTGCAGCCACAGCGTTGGATTTCGACTGGCCAAAAAACTCGAAACACATGAATAAGGTTTCCCACACAATGATGCCAACCCTTGCTGGCACGTCACTAGCTTCCCCCTGAAAAAACATGGGAAATTGTTTGTATATAATATTATATAATATATACTTAGTAGCACCCGGCAAATATGTGTGTCCTCTATGTCCTCTATGTGCGCTTTCATATGTGTGCTGTGTGCTCAAGGGGAGACAACCTAAGACATAAGAGGGTTGCTCAAACTGCTTGTGTCATTGCAGCGCGCATGCTAAGCTGATCAGCTTAGCAAAACCCACCGTGTCAGACAATAAACATGTTGCACCATGTTCCAACATGTCGTGCTACAGCAGACACTCTTT